CAATAGGAAAAGGGGAACAGGTACTCGAGAAAAGGTTAGATCAAAAAGAATTAACCTAGAAGGTAACACCCACCCACAGGAAATCAATGTGAGTCAATGCCCTGTATAGCTATCCTTATCTCAACCAGCAAAAACCCTTGTTCCTTCTTATTATTGCTTATACTCTCTCTACAACAAAATTAGAAATAAGGGCAAAATAGTTTCTGCTGGGTATTGAGGGGAGGGGGAGAGGGAGGGGGCGGAGTGGGTGGTAAGGGAGGGGGTGGGGGCAGGGGGGAGAAGTGACCCAAGCCTTGTATGCACATATGAATAATAAAAGAAAAATGAAAAAAAAAAAAAGAAAATAAAACAATGAAACCATTGAAATTGTTTTAAGAAGAGAGAGGGGAAATAAGGGGGAATGATGGAGGGGGAAATCTAACCAAAGTACATTGCAAGCATACATGTAAATATTGAAATGAACCCCCTATAAAATTAATATATGTTAATAAAATGTTTTAATAAAGGAAAAAAAATGGTAAATCAATGATAATAAAAAAAATAAAGAACATGACGTGTAACTGTACTCTGGGGGACAGGAAGGTTACAGGGTATCACGAAGGTGACTTCTCAGTCTGGTTTCTCCACCATATTTACCTTTTTGGAAAGTACATGGGCAATCAGTGCTCCGGTTTTCAAGTGGTGCCAGAAAGTCCCCCAGTAACTCAGACAGTGAAGATTTTTCCAAATTCTCTAAGATGATGATGATTTTCTTCTTAACGGGACATTGCTTCATTGGGATCAGACAAGCTGTGGTCAGAAAGGAAATTAGGGTTTAAAGCTTCTAAGGAAGCCTATACAAACTGGCAAAAATTCAAAATAAAGAAGATATAAAGTGTTAGAAAGATGTGGTTTGACAGGCATACTCTGAAACTGCTGGGGTAGTAAAAAGACTGGAAGTTTCATATTACTTAACACAGTTGAAGACACAGTGCACCATCACTTCTACTTCCATAACAGATTCCAAATGGAACCAGCCCTATGTCCACCAACGATGGAATGTATGAGTAGGAGTATATTTATACAATGGTTATGAAAGTGAGAAAATCACAACTGTAAATAAACAACAACATGGAAGACTGTTATAAACAACATATTAAGAGGCAAAACACCAGGGAATATGTGTAATATGATTTCATGTAAAGTTCACAATAGGCAATACTAAATATTTAATTTAGGGACACATATGTAGGTAATAAAAAATCTAAAGAAAAGTTAAGGTATAACTCAGTGGTAAAGTCCTTGCCTGGCATACATGAGGCCCTGGATTCAATCCCTAGCAATGAATAAATAAATAAATAAAAAAGAAGAAATGCTAAGAAATTACTATCACTATTACAAAGGATAGAGTAGTGGTTAACTCCAGAAGTGATCAGGGGGGAGGAAGCACACAGTTGAATTCTGGATGCTGAGAATATTCCAGTTTTTAGTCTAAGTTGTTATTTTATTTAAAATTATTCACTGATCTGTATCAGTAGTGTGTTATTATGTATGTCTCTTTCACAGTATAAAAGGTTAAAAACTCTTAAATAATCTTTAAGTTATACATACATCAGATGTTCATATAATTATGTAAACAAGACCTCATAGAGACTTGCAGATCCCTCCCCTCATTTTAAATATTTCATAGAGGCTAAAAGTAGTTGGCTCAAATTTCAGAAACAATGGAGGAGAAGGAGAAAAATGGAGGACTACTGGGTCTTATTTTAGTATTTCTTCTACTGAGGATGGGAGGGGTTGATTTCATAGTGACCCAAATTGAGAAATGTAGAGTAAATGGGTGATTGTTATCATATATAGGAAAGGAAAACTACTCAACACAGTACCTGGCAACTACTAAGCACTTATATGTTAATACTTTAGTTAAAATGTATACCACTTCCTCTATACCTTTTTATTTTTTAGAATATTCTAGTAAGTACTGTCTTGCCAAAATAACCTTGAAAACAGATCAGTTTAAAGTAATTGAGAGCAACACTGTCAAGCATTCCACTCTTCACAAATACTCATGAGAACATATTCTGTATTTCTTTTTCTTGTTACTATAGACACAAGGCATTTTCACTGTCAAAAAAATCACTGAACACTGTAAATGAATCTCTTCTCAGACTGAAATAGCTTTTCTGGATGCCATTAAGTTTTAAAAAACTAGAAGAACAGAATCAATAACAACCACCACCCAACTTAGTTGTACTTGTGGGGGGCCATTAATGAGGGTCTTATGTGTGTGCCATCCCCCCTTCAACCTAGCTATTTAGTAAGACTGTTAAAATCCTATTGTTCTCAGGGTTCAAATGTTATTTCAAAAATGCATGCATTGTGAATGTATAATAAACACATAATCAGTGAAAACAATGACAAACTAACAAAGCTTTTCTAGTCAGTGACAAAAACAAAAACAAACAAAAAAACCTCACCAGGTTGATGGTTTATGTATTTTTCTGTAACTTAGGACTGAAAAACTCTAGTTTCCCCCTGGTTTGTGTTTAGTGTATGGCTACTTCCAGTACCTCTGAAGCTGCTGCACATCTAGGATGTTTCTAAAAGGAAAATTTTGATTGCATTTCAGAAAGTGTTTATACAATGCCCCCTTGCTGCATGTACTCTTGGTGCTCAGTGCTATGGCCAGAGGTAACTATTGTAATGGGGAGTGGGGGAGGAAGGGCATTTTTAACTATACCTATGATGAGGAATGGCATCTTAACAGATGCACAGGTCTGAGAAAAACTTTCTAGGTCTAAGAAAGGACATTGCAGAAGAATGGAGGCTGGACATGGCTCAGTCTTAGAAGGGACTGGGGCATCAAATCCAGGTCAGAATACTTGCAAGAGTGGCATGAGTGTGAGCTCCGAGCTGATGGTGCCTCACGAGTGCAGTGGATAGAGCAGTTACAACACGGTGGTGACTCTGCTGTGGGCAACATCAGAGCAGCAGGCTGCATTTTTACTCTGGACTCACGATAGAAGCATCTGGGACTCATTTCAGATGACTAGTTGGTCAGTGCAGGGCCTAAGGCACTGGCACATTGTAAAAGCCTCCCAAGACTAGAATGTGCATTAGGACTGAGACCTGCAGCTCTAAAATCTCAGAACCCAGCCAAAATTGAAAAGCAAAAGACTCAGAATGTGATGTTAAGAGGAGTCACTACCAGCTCTCGGCATCAATGGAAGTCTTGAAGGAGGAAACTAAACGGGATTTGACTCCTGCTCTGAGGTACTCACTGGTGTAAAGAAATTGATGGAGAGGACAGAAACAGGGGGACATCTATACTAGGATCTTCTGTGGTGAAGGCAAGAGGTGAGGGGAACCTCCTCTAGGGTGAAGGCACAGAAAGAAAAGGCATCTGAGATAAACATCAGTAAGGTTCCATGTTTGACTTACAAAGAGGCAGAGAGGAAATATCAGAGGCAATGCTGAAGTCCCCACCAGAGAAGAAGTTGTACAGTTAATGGAGGCAGACAGCACATGACCAAAAGCATGCTTGCAAAAGGGATGGTAGTGATGGGAGAGAGGATTAGGGTCGGAGGCAAAACAACTGAGCTGACAGGAGTGTAGGAAGTCTCATAGGGAAAGATAAACTCAGTATCTGGGTCCACAATCAGGGATTTTACTGCTAATAACTGAATTCCACATTTATGGTGGATTCTCAGAATCTACCTTAGACACACGGGTGTAGGGAATAGTGTTAATAACCATGAGGTTAGGGTTCTACCTCGTCTGTGTTCATCTTGGTCTTCCATGAGGTCCCAATCAGGGATCAAATAGTCTGAGCTTCTTTGGTGAAAAGCTTTTTCTTCAACACTGGTGGTCTCATTCTCTCAAGTTTTCACCAGCACCTACTTCTCCATCTAACTACTTCTGGTCAACATCCTCAGGCAAGGTGGTACAAATGTAAATTTAATTTTAGTTCAGAAAAAGCATGTGTCTAGTTCAGGTTATTTAGCATGGCTTCAGGTCTAAAATATTAACCAACTCTAGAATTAAGATTTCATTACACTTTTGAGTTTCGAGGTTTAATGTGGAAACATGAAAGAAGGCCACACATTCTATTCTGTATCTGCAGATTCCCTTTGACTGGTGGCCAGAAAAGTCAGCCATTTATTCCCTTTGCTTTATGCTATTTCAAAGCTCTATTTCTGAAACAAGTCTACTCTATTCTTCATGTCCTTTTTTTTCTTCCAACTTTAGAGGCTATATCAGCTTGATCCTCTCCTGTAGGTTGGTCATCTTAATTGACACTCTGAAGTCCAGGGCTATCTCAGTTTTGCACAATCTTATTATAATGTCCTGGATAGTTTGTTCTACCATGAAAGTTGTTTGTTTAAAAATAATTAACATAGCTAGCCATGGTAAGACACACCTATAATCCCAGTACTTGGGAGACTAGGACAGGAGGATTGTAAATTTGAGGCCAGCCTAGGGCTATATAGTAACACTTTTTCTCAAAAAAATTAATGTAACATATTTACAAGTTAAACCCAAACTCATCTGTATCTAAGTTGAACCCAAGTCTATAATCTCCCCACTGGGGACTGAAAACAACCTCTTTTGTATGCTATTCACTTAAGTCTAGGCTCTGCAAGGAGCAATGCTCAGTACAAGTGACAAACATAGGGCAAAACTTCAATGGACCGCCAGGAAAACAGGGTCCACGGAGGTAAACTCACTCACTTACGGAGACACCAATTATATTCTCCTGCCATTATTTCAGTAATTCCATTCCTTATTATTTCTAAAAGGGAAAGTTCTCTCAGGAAGTCAAATTGTTATTTTATTTTATATTTTCACTATTTAATAGTAAATATATAAATATATACTATTACAAAGTTGTTAATCCAATGAAAAATCTTATATTATTACATGACTTTTATAATGTGTACTACATTACTCCTTTTGAACACACTATTGACCTTATTCCTGTTAAATTCCAGTTGTATTACAACAATACAACTGGAATTGTTGTTTTAAAATGATGATCTAGTGTTTGAATTTTTTTTACTACTTATTGTCACATACAGTTTTAAAAGGAATCTGTCATGCTAACCCAGCTCCATGCCTTATGTAAGAAACTTGAGCAGATTCTAGTATTCGTTCACACCCTTCTAAGCAAATAACAGTCATCTAATGTGACTCTCTCTCATGAAAGGCAGTATGAGAAGGAAAATGTTATTTTGAAATAACCACAAAGTAATTTAAATTCTTAAAGCTAAGTTTAAAATTATTTCTGCTTCTCTTCCCTGCTGTATTTTTTATTCATTCTTTCTGACTCTTTTCAACGGGTTTCTTCTACAAAGTCAGAGAATAAGGTAATATATGTGCTGTGCTTGATAGGAGATAAAAGTTCAACATGTCAACTCAAGCCTAATTCAAATTAATGTAAGTCTCAAGCTTTAGAGAAAATAAGGTTAAAATCTAAAAGCATATAGAATACCTCACAAATCAGTATACTTCTCTCACTTATAGTAATGTCATTTGATCACTTTCAATTCTTGGTAAAAAGGCAAAAGTGTAGTTGATAGGTAATTCTTATCCCCTTATTATTTTGAAAGCTTGAGCAAAACAGCCTAGAGGTGCTCTCTCTGATCTGTCAGGGCTCTGCCTTCTCTACTCTTTCCTTTTCCTTCACCCCTTCACTAAACAATCATTACCTGCTATGCACTTTGTGCATGAGGAAAGAATGGAAACCTGCCTGCCCACGGATCCCTTGAGATGTCCTTGCATTGCTCAGGGGCCCTGGTGTCCCCCTTACT